TCTACTTTAGAAGTCTTTAGTGTGGCTGTTAGAACTGGCAGTTTTCTTCAAAACAAACTTACATGAAGAACATTAATTATGGTGGAAGGGCCACTCAGTGGCACAGTGGTTGAGGCTGCTAGAACCCACCTGGCTGACTGTGCAGTTTGAGTACCAGTCCCAGCAACTTGGGAAACATGATGGGCACGTGTGTGTGCATGCCTGAAATTCTGAAAAAAGGGAGAGGTGGAGAAGAAGGGATCGCGATGCGGCCATCCCTCATGGAGGTGCTTTCTCGCTGTCCCCCTCTGTCTCTCTCTGGCAAGTGCACATGCTCTCTAAAAAAACTTTTTTTTTAAATTACTGAGAAGGGACCAGCAAGAGGTGTGGTGGTTAAGACACTGGACTCCCACATGGCTGACTGTGGTTACAGTCCCAAACCTAACAGCTTGAAAATCATGCTGGGTGCACGTGAGTGTATGCCCAAAATCCCAGGAGGAGAGTGGAGAAGGGATTGTGGTTTGGCCATCCCTCCTTGGGGGTGATTTCTCACTTTCCCTCTCTCTGTCTCTCCAGCAAGCACACAAACCCTATGGCAAAAACCTGAAAAAAAAAATTACTGGGGAAAATATATTTTCATTTTGAATGTGATAGCCCAACAGATTTAAAAACTTATAAACAGGGCCAGCAGGGGACATGGAGGATAAGGTGCAGGATCCCACATGGCCAATTGTGTGGTTTGAGTCCTGGACCCAGCACCTTGAAAATCAGGCCAAGTGCACGTGCATGTTGGTCCCCAATTCTAAGAGGATCAAAAACAAAACAAAATCCTTGTAAATATTCAGTGACACGACCTGGACACAAGGAACATTTTGTCAATATTACTAACGAATAAAGCAGCCAACAAATTTGAGATATTTCATATTTTTGGTTAATATAAGGAACCATCTCATAAGTTCATGTATGATCACGTTCATGTATTTTGAATTAGGAAGAAGTTGTATTTTTTGGGGGGGAGCAGAGAGAGACAGGTGAAAACTGAGTAATCACTCCCCAGAGGGTATGGCCATGCTGTAATCCCAGGTCCGATCGGCCATAGGCTGGTTTGTTTGTACTGTGATGTTGCAGAAATGTCAACATGCTAGAAACATTTCTTAATGTTGCTGCCAATTTCTATACGTATTACATCACAAATCAGTAGCAGTTCATTGCTCTTTTGAATACACTCTCTCCTTATTCCTGAAAGCCAGCTCTTCCAGGTTTTGAGCACTATTTGGATAGAGAGAAGAATGGGAACAAGTCTCCCCTTCCAAGCTACTGAAAACCATGGAGGAGACCAAATACACTTGTGGTTTTTTTTTTTTCTTTTTCCCCTAAGCTATAGAAGGAAACAAGTTAAAGGAGAAATAATCATTTAAGAATGGTAGGTTCGAGGCCAGTAGGTGGCATAGTGGTTAAGGTGTTAGACTCTCATGTAGCCAATTTTGTTTTGAGCCCCCAACCTGGCTGCTTAAAACTCGCACCAGGCATTTGTGCCTAGAATCTCAGGAGAATAGAGAAGGGATTGCAATGTGGCCACCCCCTCTGGTGGGAGGGGTGCGTGATTTCCGTCTTTCTGTCTCTCTGTCTTTCTCTGTCTTTCCTGTGAGCACACCTGCCCTATAGAAAAAAAATCACTAAAAAAACAAAACAAAACAAAAAAAAGAATGATGGGTTAATGTTTAATTATACAAGGCAGAGAAAATAGCACGGCAGCCTCCAGTTTAAACAGTAATCTTTTTTCTTCTTTTTTTTTGCTCTTTAAGAAATATATCTTAGGTCAAAAGAATTGCATAATAATATTTTAAAAATAAGATAATTGCCTTATATCTCTTAATACAGCTCATTCAAAATGCCCCCTCTTTGCCATATACACTTTCTGTTAAGATGTTTGGGTTCGAGAAGGAGAGGGTATACTGAGGTGTTGTGGATCCTGGCAGCTCAAATGGCCCCAGGAGTCATGTCTTTTTCCCTGGTTAGTTTTGCCCCCAGCTAACAGAGCCAGCAGCGTCTATATGATCAGATCAAAGGGCACTGGTAGTCATTAATGAGCAGCTGGAGTAAAGCCAGGGAGAAGAGATGCAGGTTGTTTAACCCTTCTATAACTGAACTAGACTCAAGGGCCTGCGGCCTAAAATGGTTACTTAAAACACCTTCAGAGACAGAGAAATTAGGTGGTAGCAAATATCTTAATTATGTTTCAAAAACAAACAAAACCCAAACCAGATAAACCACTTCAAATTCAAAACAGGAAATGAAATCCAGCAAACTCTGCCATCCCTGCCCACTGCTCTGGAAAGGCTGTCTTTGTCTGTAAAGGCCAAGAGGCACAAAGCTACCATTTTTCTCTCAAAGCAGCAGGAGCAATAAAGAGTTACAAATAGGGTTTTAATACTATGTAAACATAGCCCCATTTTGAGGGGGCGAATCGAGAATTATGGGTGTGGGGGAAATTTCTAAAATTGCATGGCAGAGAAGTTAAGAAAGATGAGAAATTTGTACACCTGCATACAGCATTGGCATCTACTTTAGAAGTCTTTAGTGTGGCTGTTAGAACTGGCAGTTTTCTTCAAAACAAACTTACATGAAGAACATTAATTATGGTGGAAGGGCCACTCAGTGGCACAGTGGTTGAGGCTGCTAGAACCCACCTGGCTGACTGTGCAGTTTGAGTACCAGTCCCAGCAACTTGGGAAACATGATGGGCACGTGTGTGTGCATGCCTGAAATTCTGAAAAAAGGGAGAGGTGGAGAAGAAGGGATCGCGATGCGGCCATCCCTCATGGAGGTGCTTTCTCGCTGTCCCCCTCTGTCTCTCTCTGGCAAGTGCACATGCTCTCTAAAAAAACTTTTTTTTTAAATTACTGAGAAGGGACCAGCAAGAGGTGTGGTGGTTAAGACACTGGACTCCCACATGGCTGACTGTGGTTACAGTCCCAAACCTAACAGCTTGAAAATCATGCTGGGTGCACGTGAGTGTATGCCCAAAATCCCAGGAGGAGAGTGGAGAAGGGATTGTGGTTTGGCCATCCCTCCTTGGGGGTGATTTCTCACTTTCCCTCTCTCTGTCTCTCCAGCAAGCACACAAACCCTATGGCAAAAACCTGAAAAAAAAAATTACTGGGGAAAATATATTTTCATTTTGAATGTGATAGCCCAACAGATTTAAAAACTTATAAACAGGGCCAGCAGGGGACATGGAGGATAAGGTGCAGGATCCCACATGGCCAATTGTGTGGTTTGAGTCCTGGACCCAGCACCTTGAAAATCAGGCCAAGTGCACGTGCATGTTGGTCCCCAATTCTAAGAGGATCAAAAACAAAACAAAATCCTTGTAAATATTCAGTGACACGACCTGGACACAAGGAACATTTTGTCAATATTACTAACGAATAAAGCAGCCAACAAATTTGAGATATTTCATATTTTTGGTTAATATAAGGAACCATCTCATAAGTTCATGTATGATCACGTTCATGTATTTTGAATTAGGAAGAAGTTGTATTTTTTGGGGGGGAGCAGAGAGAGACAGGTGAAAACTGAGTAATCACTCCCCAGAGGGTATGGCCATGCTGTAATCCCTTCTCTATTCTCCTCTTGGGATTTTGGGTGCATGTGCGTGCGCACACACACACCCGGCATGATTTTCAAACTCCTGGGTCTCGGACTCATACCACAGTTGATCATGTAGGAGTCCAGCGCCAGAAGTACTACTCCACCTGCTGGTCCTAGAAGTTGTATTTTTATTATTGCTGAGAAACTAGCCCATGTGGCTTCAGTGCTAGGTGGTGGGGAAGTGCAAAGAAGAGGAGGGGGTCTCCTTTCTGGCCTGGTCAGAACAGGGAAGGCTTCTTGCAGGAGGTGATGCTGGCACCATCCTCAGGGTTACACCGCCTATTGGACAGCCCCCTCGGACTGTCTCCAGACTCCTCCATCCCAGCACATCCAAATCTAAGTCTTCTCAAGTACCAAGATGAATCAGGAAACATCCCAGATGCCTCACTTCCTGCCTCTTGTGGGATCTTGAAGGAGAGGGACTGACCAATGGAGAAATGCCCCCTGTAAGTGCAGGGGAGTTGGGTGAGGCTGGAGGGAGAGGGAGGGACAGTGCCTGCCATGGGAGGGGTTTTGGATTTCCCAGGGCCCAGTGGGGACTTTAAACAGATTTGCATTTTAGAAAGATTGTTATCAGCAGAACAAAGGCTGGATGGAGCTGGGAGCGCCTGGGCTGCCGACCAGCTCAGTGGACTTTGGGATAGCGGCCAGCCTTCTGCTTGACCCCGAGTTTGTCAGGATCAAATGCGGCCAGAACAAAGCCCCCAGTGATCAAATGGCCAGTTGGGAAACCTTTTATTTTCCTTCCTCCCTCAAAACACCCTTTAAGTACTCAAGGGAAAAAAAAAGAGGAGGTGGGAGGGAAGCAAAAATTGGGTCTCTAGCTCTCCAGAAGTGTGCAGGGCAGCCCCCACAGGTTCACAGGAGGCTTGGCGGGCAGGAGCAGGTAGCAAAGAGGGCAGCTGAGGACCAGGGTGAGGCCACAGCCCTTCCCATACTCTGCAGCTGGCCCTCGCTCACTCATAGCAGCAGGAGCAGTTGGGGCAGTCTTACACCCTTTTCACAACTGCTGTTACCAAGCTTAAGAACACAGCTGGAATCCTCATCATTTTCTCCCCAAATCCAGCCTGTTAAAGAGCTGTCAAGTTTTCTTAACACAGACGTGAAAACAATGGAAATACAACTATTCCCCCCACCCCCAAAGAATTTAAAATTCTTTACCCTTTCAAAAGGACAAGGTCGTCCAGAGCTGGTTCAACCCTTGCGTGAGCTAATTACTGAAAAAGGCCTTGGACTTTATTTCTTTTGTAATCAGAGCGAGCGAGCTATTTACCGTGAGTCGGCACTCCTTGATGTGTTTATCCTCATCATGCACAGGAGGAAACTGAAGGCACAAACAGGTTATGTAACTGCCCTGAGGTGCACAGGTCGGGGAGGAAGTGGAGGGCCTGGCCTCACCGTTCCCACCTCTGCATTCACCACTGTCCTGGGCAGGTGGGCTACAGGAGGGGGAAGGAATCTTCCCTCCGTTTCTCCTCATGCGGAAGCCCTTCCTGTCGTCCAGGCAAGATGGGTTGAGGGTGTGAGCTGACTTGCGTACGTGGAAGTAGAGGGTAGGGGGCCAATGAGCATGTATTTAAGAACTGCCTATTTCAACTCACTTGAGAAAATCTATTCAGAAAAGGTAAGTTAACATTTAGGATGGGAGAGGTACCTGAGATAATTCCATGTTCCCAGTGTTTTTCCTGAAGATTTCCATGAATTACTGAGAGAGTGGGTGGGGAGCCCAGGCGGATAGAAAGGAGAATATGTGTGCAGCTCGGACGCAGCTCAGATCGGTATTTCTCACTTGAAATGAAGAATACTGAGAAGCTGACGTAACTACTGCGCAGTTACTCAGCTCCTTTTAGGACCCTCGTTACCCTTGCTCACAGAAAAGTGAGAAGTCCTGTTTAGTGAACCTTGACTATGTCTGGCATCGCAGAATCTTTGAAAATACAGAAAGGGGCTGGGGGATAAAAGTGAAAGTGTGGGAATTCAGAGGAACTAAGAAACTTTGACAGATGAGGAACAGGATAAATGAGAGAATATCGCCACTGGAATCTGAGACAGAAAAGGACATTAAGTTAACAGAAGATTGCAGCCAACATCATGACAGGGAACCACAAAGGAGAGGCAGGGGTTTTTCATAACCATGCTGATAGCTTGTTAAGATATTGTGGGTTCATGGGACCAGCAGCTGGCGTAATGGTGACGTTGCCGGATTCCCACATACTCGACTGCAGTTCTAGTCCTAGACTGGGTGGCTTAAAATTCATGCTGGGCCCATGTGCGTGCATGCATGCTCAAAATCCTGAGAGGAGAACAGAGGAAAAGGGATTGCAGAGTGGCCATTCCCTGGGGGTGGGGGAGAGGAGGAAGGCAGTGATTTTTCGCTTTCTGTCTCTCTGTCTCTGTCTCTCCAGTGAGCGCACATACTCTATAGCAAATATCTGGATGGGAGGGGGAGATTGTGGGTTCCATAGTGCTGCTTAGGACAGTATTTACAAATGTGTGGGCTGATCTTAACTGGTCCTGTGCCCAGGAGGCATATCTCCTGCAGAGAGGGGAGGAGTTGAGCCTGAGTTATAAGGATGATTAGAGTCAGCAAAAGAAGAGAAAACAAGAGGAAAGGTGAAGTGCAGGGAGAGGTACTTTAAATTCTCAGGGAAGTGCGTTCTGCTACTAAGGAAACAACAGGGTGTCAGCACAGCGCCCCCTGGTGTCGGGAGAGTCCTGTGGCTTCGCCTGCTTGATAAGGGCAAATTTGGCCAGTTCTGCAAACCCAAGTAAATATTTACAGTCGTAATCTCTAGTAGTATTGGCAATTACTTAATGTACCTGGTGTACCTGGCTGTTGCTCTGAGCTTGACTCTTGGTACCTCCCACCCCCAAATGCTCAGGCCTGGCCTGGCTGGAGGCAGGAATGTGTAAAGCATGCTGTGGAATTTCCTCTCAGTGCCTGGGAATTTGCTACCAGCAGGGAACTGTGCTTCAAATAAAGACCAAGTTTCAGTTTAACCTACAGTTTAAAGTGACACCCAGCAGTCCCGATGTTGTGTGTCAGAGGTGGGACCAGAGACTTCTTTAAGGAAGGTTTTGGTGACAGCCAGCTATCCTGAGGTGGCCTTTTCTATTGATAGATAGAATCCCTTCCCCACCCCCCCATCACCTTCCCTTCTTCCTTCCCAATGTAGCCCATTTAAATGATTGAGTGGTTAAAAAACAAAAACAAAAACAAAAACAAAACTGCCTTAAGCCCTTCACTCCCCACCACACATACACACACATCAGGCTGTTTAGATGCCCCTCTGCCACTTACCGCCTTGGTCTTACCAGGAGCTGCTTGCTTAATCTCCCAGTCCTTTAGTTTTGTCTTACATAAAATAGATTAATAATAGAATGTACCACGAGGGTTGCTATGGGGGGTAAATGAGATGGTGCCTTAAAGCATTTAGCACACAGTCCTTGGCACAGCGAAGCCACTGGTCAGGTCATTACCGTGACCCCTTTGGGCTTCCTTTCACTGTAATTAAAGACTTCAAACTTGCATTGAGTTTGTAATCTAAGATGAATGAGAACTGCTGATCTGATGCGGAAGCACTATTTAGAGGGTGGTTAACTGGCTTTGAGGCCAAGCACTGTACCTGGTACCGAAGAGATAGAAGGCCTGGCTTTTGGCATCAAGGTGATTATTACCTTGTTAGCAAAAAACCCCTCTGATCACTGATCAGCCTGATAGTAACAGGAAACATTTGTCCAATGCTCCACATGTGTGGGTGTCGTCCAATGCTGTGGGGCCGTCCGTAAAAGTGGCTGGGGACAGGAACAGCAGATGGGTAGTGGTTATGTTGCTGGACTCCTATGTAGTCGATCACGGTTCAAGTTCTGGACCTGGGGCGGGCACATGTGCATATGTGCCCCAAATCCTGACAGAATGGAAGAGATGTGGCCATCCCCCCGAGGGGATAATTTTTTTTTTTTGAGAGATTTTTGCTATAGGGCGTGTGCTCTCGCTGGAAAGACAGAGAGAGACAGAAAGTGAGAAATCACCACCCCACCAGCGCCCAGGTGGGATGGCCACCCCGCAATCCCTTCTCCATTCTCCTCTCAGGATCTTGGGCACGCATGCACATGTGCCCGGCGTGAGTTTAAGCCACCGGGTCTGGGACTCAAACCGCGGTACACTACATGGGCTCCAAGCACTTTAGCCATTATGCTAACTGCTGGTCCCAGATAATTTCTCATTTTCTGTCTCTCTCTGTCTCCCTGGTGAGTGCACGCACCCTACAAACAAACATCTTTCTCAAAATAAATAAATAAATAAATAAATTAATTAATTAATTAAAAAGTGATTGGGAAGCTTTTGGAAGGAAGTGAGCATGGAGCCCAGCTCCAATGTTCTCACAAATCTCTCCTGAAGGAGAGAAAAGGCACAACCCTGCGTGATGTGCAGTGGAAGCAGGCTTGGGTGTGTGTCAGACATACATGGGTCAAACCTGATTCATCCTGACCTTGACCACGTTATTTAACTTCCCACCCACTGATTTATTATCTACAAATCGGCGGTGGTGAGGGTAAAGCACAGCACACTGGCACACTGCAGGTGCTGTGCACATCTTCCATCCCTCTGCCCTCTTCTAGGCTGTCTTCAAAGAATTAATAAAGTGAACGCTTAACTTGACCACTTGGTGGCCTTTCTGCCTACACTTCTCTTAGCAGTTAGTAAAGGGGAAAAGCCAGGTACCTTAATACTACTGCTACTGCTACCACGACAACTAGCTCTGAACTCCAGAATAGCTCAGACCGCTGTCTGAACCCATGAGGGTGGCCAAAATGCAGGTCCTCTGTGTCCCAAGGGGCTCCTAAAACTCTGCTTGGGAGGTTTTGGAAGAGAGGACCAGTCGTCAGTCCATGTGCGGATGGAAAGGGAAGGGGGGGGGGGAACAGCACACCTTCCCCCAGCTGCCCAAAGAGGAAACCCTCACTCACAACTGCCAGAGACACCCGCGTCATTTCCTTGCAGGACTTTGCCAGATGAAACAAACCTATCCCAGAGTATGCTTTTCCATGGGGGAGGATGCAATGTGGAAGGCAGGTATGGAGAGCCTGAGCAGCCCAGACTTCCCTTCCGCCAGGGGGCGATGTGGCCTATGATTTTTCTTTGTCCTGGGCCAGTTGAACAAGTGGGTGGGATGAGGTCAACAATTAGCATCAGCTTTGCCTAGGCCTGAACCTTTTACTCTAGATTTGAACCTTTGGCTTTTAGGGCAGGCAGGAGTTTCCCAAGGGAGGGAACCCAGCTTTAGAACTTTATCACACCCTGTGACATCTCATTAGTGACAGCGAACGTGCTCCTCTGTACACTTTACAAGTGTGTTGTGTGTACTGTCATTCAAACCAGCTGCTGTCAGTCAGAAAAATGCAGAAGAGCCGAACAGGCTTCCCCAGCATCCTGTTCAGAGTGCCCCTCAGGCATATACCCAAGAGCAGTGTGTTCTGTGCTTCTGTTAACTCGAACAAGAAACATCTAGATGAAACTTCACTTTAATTTTTTAAAAATAGAAAATGGGGCCCAGTAGGTGGCATGGTGGTTAAGGTGCTGGATTCCCACATGCTGACCACAGTTCGAATCCTAGACCAGACAACTTGAAAATCACACTGGGCACATGTGTGCCCAAAATCTTGATAGGAGAATGAAAGAGAAGGATTGTGATGTGGTCATTCTTCCTGGGTGGTGGCCGTGGGGGGTGATTTCTCACTTTCTCTCTCTATATCTCTCTGTCTTGCTCTGGGGAGCACATGCACCCTATGGCAAAAACTGAGGGACAAAGAAAAAAAAAAAGGAAAATGTTCATAAGGTAAAGTTACTATGCATGCTAAGTGACTTTTCTATTTTGTTTCTTTCAGGAAAACTATCCTATTCCCGAACCAGGCCCAAATGGTAGGTTCTTGGGGAACTTACGTTTTGTTCTCTGTTATTTACCTTGGCGACACAGCCATTGCTCCCTTACCCTTGTTTCCCAACTGAAGTTGTTGTCTTCACCAAAAACTATGCTTTTGTTAGGCTGAACACCTAGTCTATTGTCCACAGCATGACTGGGTGGGTGGGTAGGTTTGTCATGGATGTTACATGAAATAAAAACAGTGATAGAACCCCAAAAATGGCCATATGAGACTGCTGACTTTCCCAAAGTTTGTACCAAAAAAATAGAATTATTCCTCCTTTGACCTCTTGAACAGAGTTCTCTGTCTACCAGAAGAAGCTATTTGCAGTTGCCAAATCATGTCCTAATCTTAATCCTAACCCAACCTCTGGAAAGGAGTGAGTCTACATACACAACTCAGTCTTTTCATTAGCAAAGGCACAACATGCCAACCCTCCCCCAGCTCCCCAGGAAGGCTTATACAAAAAGAGTGGAACCACCCAGACTCTCTGCGGGAATGGGAGGGATGTGTGGAGCCCTGCCCCTGTGCCCTAATCAATCCTGCACAGAACGTGGGTGAACACACTGGGGCAGGGTTCCTGGCACCTTTGCTCCACTCCCTCTGGGCCTCTCACTAGGCAAGCCCGCTGAGGTGCCACACATGCTTCCTGGGCTGGCATCTGTGTCTGGGGAGGTCGTGGTGCCCTGTTTGCTAGGGCAGATCTCTGCTGACCGTTTTCCAGTGTTTCTCATCGCTGGACTCCCACCTCTTCACAACCTCCAGGTGGCAGGCAGTATCTATAGAAGCTCATCCTCTCCCTCACACCCAGTCCTCGCCCACCCCGCCCCACCTTCCCTGAGAACCACAGCTTCGGTGTGAACATCAGATCGAAGGCAGCTTTCCTTAGTGTCTCCAGAGCTTTGCTACTCAAAGGTCAGTTGAGTTATTGACTTACAGTGATAAGAACAGAGACAACAGCTGTTTCAATCAGTGTTTAGCAGGTAATGTTTACTTAGGGCTTAAGCATTTTCACTAAGATATCATGTTCAGAGAAAGAGGCACGTCCCTGAGTCCAGAAAAGCTGATGTTGATTCTAAAGGTGTCGATTCAAGAGCTATCGTGGATTCTAAGGATTCTGGTATGGCTTCCCTTTCTGAGCAGAAGCCTGCTCTCACTTTTTTGGTCTCTATTTATACTTGAGTTGGAAGGGGAAAAGCTAGTGCAGTCATCCCCCTTTATTCATAGAGGACAGAGTCCAAGACCCCCAGGGAGTGCCTGAAATCACGACCGTACCAGGTCCTATATATACTGTATTTTTCCTATACATACGTATCTATGACAAAGTTTAATGTATAAACTGGGCACAGTATGAGATTAACAACAACAATAGTAAAATAGAACAATTATGACACTATGTGATAATAAAAATCACATGACTGCAGTCTCTCCCTCTCTCCAAATCTCAAATGAGGTTGACTGTGGGTAACTGAAGCTGTAGAAAACAAAACCATTGATAAAATAGGGACCACTGTACACTGCAGAGAATGTTCTAGCAAGTTGCATTTCTTCCTCCAAATTGGTAACTTGAAGAGAGGAAACGCTGAGGCAGTTTTCCTAGTTCAAATGACCTTTCCCAACGTTTGATCTCAGAATTCACCTGACCGTTTCTTCCGATGTTCATCAACACCTAGGACAAAGACAGTCGTACAGAGCCACACAGGGTGGATCCTCTGTGTTTGGTGGCAAGGGCAGTGTGTAAGACACCGAAATGCAAAGAAGAGCTTTCTGATCTTTTTTTTTTTTTTTTTTTTTTTTTTGTCTTCCAAAGGCAGAGCTTTTTCTCAGGGAGGTATTCATAACATGGTCATCTCTGTTGGAGGAGGCTGCTAATCCTTCCTTTGGTACTTATTTTAGCAAAGTGACTCAGTGGCATCATTATTTTAAACTTGAAAAACTGACAGTACCACTACCAAATCTTACTTGATTCAAACCCTTGTAAGAGAAATGCCAACTGGATGCTTTAAGTAACTGCACTTTTTGAGAAAACAACAGGTATGCAGAACTCAGCCTAGTAGCTTACGAAGTGTCGCCAAGCTGAGATACTGCCAGACATGTTCTCGTGGATAATGAATCAGGCACAGCATGTTTATTCTCTGGAAACAGATATCTCCTGGGAAACAGTTTGTTCTCTTAAAGGATTGGTACACTTATTCCTATTAATAATCCCTTGTTTACACACTGCGTTGGTCATGTTATCTAGAGAAACAGAAAAAAATAAGATACCTGTGTATGTATGGAGAGAGAGACAGAGGTTTATTTAATTTACTTATTTTAATGGCCAGAGGATACACACATTTGTAAAGAGAGACAGAAAGGGAGAAAGCACCACTCACTGAGGCATGGCCACTCTGCAGTCCCTTCCCCTCCATTTCTCCCCCCGTCAGGATTTGAGGCATGCACGTACACACACCCTGTATATTTTTCAGGCCTCCAGAGCTAAGGTTCAAACTGTAGTCAGCCATGTGGAATCCAGCTTCCTTAACCACTAGGCTATGGGCTGAACCCCTTATTTTACTTTTAAAGTTTATTTTATTTATCATCAAAAAGACATGTGTCTATATGAGAGAGAAAGGGAGAGGGAAAAGGATTCGTGACAGAATCTGGTCACGCTGCAATCCTCTTTGCCAGCCTTCCAGCTTGTCAGAATCTTGGGCACATGTGCTTGCGCTTGGCATGCCTCAGGTGGACTAAGATCTGAGAATGTAAACCTGTGGTTAGCCGTGTGGCTTCCAGCACTGTAGTCTAGTATGGGTCCAATACATTTTTATTTTAAGGAATTGGCTCACGTAGCGGTGGGGGCATGTGGGAAGCTAGCAGGCTGGGAATTCAGGTAAGAGCTGGTCTTGTGATCTTGAGTTCAACATCTGCAGGGCAGGCCAGGCAAGCTGGAAACTCAGGCAGAGTTTCTGTGTTGCTGTCTTGAGAATTCCTTTCTCCTCGGGAATCCTTAGTCTTTGGTTTTAAGGCCTTCAGACTGATTTGATAAGGCCAACCAACATCATCAAAGGTAATCTGCTTTACTCAATCTACCAATTTAAATGTTGATTATGCCTGAAAAATACCTTCACAGAAACTTCTAGACTGGTGTTTGACCATACAACTGGGCACCATAGCTAGTTAAGTTGACGTGCAAAATTAACCATCACATGAGGTTCATTTGTTCTATGGGGGCTTCTTTTTTTTTTTTTTTCCCCTGTGCTAAATAACATTGCTATTTAGCTTGTTTTTCTCTGTGTTCTAAATTTTATACCTGACCTGGGTAGCCCAGCCCTTTCCCCTGTTCAGAGTGATAAAGGAGTCAATCCCTCCCTCACATGTTTTCTCTTTCTTTTTCTCTTTCCAGATGTGCTGCTGAAGATGCATTCTGTTGGAATTTGTGGCTCGGATGTCCACTACTGGCAGCATGGTCGAATTGGGGATTTTATTGTGAAAAAGCCCATGGTACTAGGGCATGAAGCCTCTGGAACAGTCATAAAAGTGGGGTCGTTGGTAAAGCACCTAAAACCAGGTTGGCAAAGTCCTTTGGTTAACTGATTTATGTATTTACCAACATAAATATCTGTACATGCTTTCTCTGGGTCAGGCCCACTCTTAAGCACTGAGGTACCTCAATGAGCCACCAGCCCTGGTCTGTGTATACATGGATCCTTCCCACAGAGAGTCTGTCTCTCTCAGGAGAGACAGGCAGGTAATTGCTTAATCACAGCACAGTGGAGGAGAATGCAAGGTGTGACACGTGTTTTATTTATACTTCTGGTTTGAGAAAGGGACAATCTGGCACCTAAAGGTAAGTAAGAAATAAACCAATTGAAGTGATGGAGAAAACGTTCCAGGCATAGGAACCACAAACCACCTTCGCATGCTGAGAACCAGGGCCTTGGATGCCATCTGTTTTATTGAATGGGTGGGAAACCAGCAATATTATTCCTATGTTTGCTTACTTCATTTTCCTGTAGCAGACTGTGTTGTTCTCTGACACAGTTTAAGGTGTCATGGCATGGCTACCTGCCAGCTTGTACCTCCCTTTGCTGAAGAGGCCATTCACAGCATGGAGATGATAAATCAGGTTATTTGGGGGAAGGTAGAGTTTGGTAGGATGTGCCATCCTGTGTTGGTTGTAAGCTCTTTGAGCCCAGCCCCATGGAGAGGGATTGACAAGCTCTGAAGAAGTTAACCATGTGTCTTGCTTAGGAATGTAAGTCAGGGCCTCCACTCACCATTAATGAAAGTTGAAAAAACTCTTGTGGAGTTACAGGATTATTCCAGAGTGGGTGGTTCATAGCTTCCAACAAGTGCTGACAATTGTTTTTTACTGGTGGGCTAAGGTCTCTAAGTATGTTACCATGAGGAATGGGGTTCTTCAAATGTAAGCTTTAACAAGTGTTTAGTCAGTGTCTGGGATGGGTCCAGTCTTGGGTCAAATGCTTCGAGTGATGTGTAAAATGGAAAGATATGATCCCTGATGCTTAGATCTAGTTAGAAAGACCAGACACACCTAAATACCAACAATTAGAGAAAACACCATAGGGTACAATCAGCTGTAGGAAAGGAAGGCTCTGGAAGTTCAAAAAAAGAGTGTTCATTGTGGACAGAGGTGGTTAAAGAAGGCCCCTGGAGGAGATAGATCTTTGAGCAGGACATTTAATAGCAATAATAAGAAGGCAGCATAGTGCGGAGTACAAGCACTCCTCACTTAGGTCATTCAGTGGATCTTAAGCAAGAAGCTTAAAGGTGGATGTCTTGTGATGTGTCATGAGACCATATGATATGTATTTTTTAATAGGCATCAGGTGACTCCACACTAGAATAATATAATTCTATTCATATAAAAAGCATACATTAGATAAACACCAAAAAGTGATGAGTCACACCACAACACAATAACATAACTCTTGCATAAACATTTTTACTTATTCTGAATACTGTTGTACTAGGGGTGCACAATAAAGTACAAATTTATAAACGGAATGTGTAGTCTTACATGATTGGAAATGCTTTGCTTAGTGAGTACTAACTAGTGAGGGGAATGAGACCACTAAGAAAGGGGATTCCTGAGACTCACGCAAACTGAGAAAGGAGATTCCCCACACTGGAAAGTTGGTTGTCAGCCCAAGAGGTCATTAAGTGAGGAGTGGCTGTATTTACTAACGTGCTATTTGTTGCTCTCTATGTTAAACATTTATATGTATGATTTGTTTCATTCTTGAGACAACACTGTATGAGATAGGCATTCTTATCCTCATTAGTAGATGAAGAAAATGAAGAGAAGGACAATGAGAAAGCACCCTGCATGGAGGATGGTCATGGCACAATACCTTCTCCTCCATTTCTCCTTTTGGGATTTGGGGTATGCATACACTTGCATGTGTTTCAAGCCACTGGATCTGGGACCCAAACCATGCCATTGGGCATGTAGGATCCAGCCACCTTAACCACAATGCCACTGGCTGGACCTGAAGTCTTTCATATATTAGCTCTGATTTCGCGTTCTAATTTAATGTTCTGATCAACTAATCTCAAAGGAGGGAAACTATTCATTGAATATTTCTTGACATTGGTGTATACAATTTAAATATATAAATCAATAAATCTAAGGCATTTCATTTATATAGAATCTGGCCATCTGTCTCGGATCTTGAATTTCCTCTATCAGCTCAGATAATTATCATAATTATAAATACAATAAGGGAGTTACTACTATTACATTTTTCAACTATTCCTATTACTACCACTTTCCATGAGCATTACCTGTGTACCAGGACCCTACACTCTAGTACAGTGCAGGCACTATGGAGAAGTACGGAGCAGAAGACTGACTCATCCTGCAGCACTCCCTTCCTACATGAGGCAGCCAGACACATAAAAACAACTAGAAAGCTGAAAACAACCAGGTGTCTATCACCCAGTTTAGCCAACCAGGTGGTGTGTTCTACTGTGGAACACTATTCAGCCATAAAAAGGGGCAGGCTATTGATACTACAGTAGCATGGATCAATCTGAAAAGCATGATGCTAACTGAAAGGTTCAAAAGAGTACATGCTGTATGACCCCATTATTCCAATGTGCAGGAATAGGCAATACTATACTACTCTGTGGCTAAAATAAAATAAAATAAAATAAAGATAAAAACTGGGGCCAGCAGGTGGCATAGTGGTTAAGGTGTTGTACTCCCATGTGGTCAACCAGGGTTCAAGTCCCTGACCTGGTGGCTTGAAACTCATGCCAGGCACATGTGCATACATGCCCAAAATCCCTAGAGGAGACTGGAGAAGGGATTGTGGTGTGGCCATCTCCCTTGGGGGGTGATTTTTCATTTTCTGTCTCTGTCTCTCCAGTGAGTACACATGCCCTATAGCAAAAATCCCTTTAAAAAATTAGTTGTCTCTTGGGGTAAGGATAGGAATTGACTGGGAAGTGGCACAAAGGAATGAGGTGTCTGGGATAGAGGTCATGTCCTGTATTGTCACAGGGGTTTACAGTGCACAGCAAATACATTTATCAAAATTCACCTAATGATCCACTTAAGATCTGTGGATTTCATTAATGTTGCCTTAACAAAAGCAAGAACAAATATTGAACTCTAGTTAATGATGTGTAGGTCGAAGTACAAAGGAGTCGTCAAAAAGTTCACAGAAGGGACCAGAAGTTGGTGTAATGGCTATGTCACTGAACTCCCATGTAGTCGACCGCGGTTCGAGCTCAGACCTGGTGGCTTAAACTTATGCCGGGCGTGTGTGCGTGTGTGCCCAAGATCCCGAGAGGAGAATCGAGGAGAAGGGATTGCAGCGTGGCCATGCCCCCCCCCGAGGGTTGATTTCTCGCTTTCTGTCTCTCTGTCTCTCTCTGTCTTTCTGGCAAGCACACGCGCCCTATAGCAAAAACCTCTCTAAAAAAATAATAATGACAATAAATAAATAAATAAAAAGTTGACAGAAATCATGTGTTATTAAAAAAAAGTAATCTATGCTCAGGGAGCCAACATAAGGCAGCTATTCCACATGGCCAACAGCACAGTTCAAGTCCCAGACCCAGTGGCTTGAAAAACATGCCAGGCCCATGTGCATGTGTGCCCAAAATCCTGAGAAGAGAATAGAGGAGAAAGGATTACAGTGTGACCATTCCCACTGGGGAGTGCTTTTTCATTCTCCCTCTCTCTCTTTTTCTCTCTCTCTCGAGTGCCCATGCCCTATAGCAAAACTAAGAAAAGCAGATACAAACAAAAAACCAAAAACAATAAAAAAACTATGCATGGATTTCAAAACTTTTTATACTTCAATCTTTTCATACTTTAATTCCATTTTCCATGAACTTTTTGATGTCTCCTTGTGCTACTTTGAATGCATTAGGAAAAAAGGAGTCAATCCCTCCCTCACATGTTTTCTCTTTCTTTTTCTCTTTCCAGATGTGCTGCTGAAGATGCATTCTGTTGGAATTTGTGGTTTGGATGTCCACTACTGGCAGCATGGTCGAATTGGGGATTTTATTGTGAAAAAGCCCATGGTACTAGGGCATGAAGCCTCTGGAACAGTCATAAAAGTGGGGTCGTTGGTAAAGCACCTAAAACCAGGTTGGCAAAGTCCTTTGGTTAACTGATTTATGTATTTACCAACATAAATATCTGTACATGCTTTCTCTGGGTCAGGCCCACTCTTAAGCACTGAGGTACCTCAATGAGCCACCAGCCCTGGTCTGTGTATACATGGATCCTTCCCACAGAGAGTCTGTCTCTCTCAGGAGAGACAGGCAGGTAATTGCTTAATCACAGCACAGTGGAGGAGAATGCAAGGTGTGACACGTGTTTTATTTATACTTCTGGTTTGAGAAAGGGACAATCTGGCACCTAAAGGTAAGTAAGAAATAAACCAATTGAAGTGATGGAGAAAACGTTCCAGGCATAGGAACCACAAACCACCTTCGCATGCTGAGAACCAGGGCCTTGGATGCCATCTGTTTTATTGAATGGGTGGGAAACCAGCAATATTATTCCTATGTTTGCTTACTTCATTTTCCTGTAGCAGACTGTGTTGTTCTCTGACACAGTTTAAGGTGTCATGGCATGGCTACCTGCCAGCTTGTACCTCCCTTTGCTGAAGAGGCCATTCACAGCATGGAGATGATAAATCAGGTTATTTGGGGGAAGGTAGAGTTTGGTAGGATGTGCCATCCTGTGTTGGTTGTAAGCTCTTTGAGCCCAGCCCCATGGAGAGGGATTGACAAGCTCTGAAGAAGTTAACCATGTGTCTTGCTTAGGAATGTAAGTCAGGGCCTCCACTCACCATTAATGAAAGTTGAAAAAACTCTTGTGGAGTTACAGGATTATTCCAGAGTGGGTGGTTCATAGCTTCCAACAAGTGCTGACAATTGTTTTTTACTGGTGGGCTAAGGTCTCTAAGTATGTTACCATGAGGAATGGGGTTCTTCAAATGTAAGCTTTAACAAGTGTTTAGTCAGTGTCTGGGATGGGTCCAGTCTTGGGTCAAATGCTTCGAGTGATGTGTAAAATGGAAAGATATGATCCCTGATGCTTAGATCTAGTTAGAAAGACCAGACACACCTAAATACCAACAATTAGAGAAAACACCATAGGGTACAATCAGCTGTAGGAAAGGAAGGCTCTGGAAGTTCAAAAAAAGAGTGTTCATTGTGGACAGAGGTGGTTAAAGAAGGCCCCTGGAGGAGATAGATCTTTGAGCAGGACATTTAATAGCAATAATAAGAAGGCAGCATAGTGCGGAGTACAAGCACTCCTCACTTAGGTCATTCAGTGGATCTTAAGCAAGAAGCTTAAAGGTGGATGTCTTGTGATGTGTCATGAGACCATATGATATGTATTTTTTAATAGGCATCAGGTGACTCCACACTAGAATAATATAATTCTATTCATATAAAAAGCATACATTAGATAAACACCAAAAAGTGATGAGTCACACCACAACACAATAACATAACTCTTGCATAAACATTTTTACTTATTCTGAATACTGTTGTACTAGGGGTGCACAATAAAGTACAAATTTATAAACGGAATGTGTAGTCTTACATGATTGGAAATGCTTTGCTTAGTGAGTACTAACTAGTGAGGGGAATGAGACCACTAAGAAAGGGGATTCCTGAGACTCACGCAAACTGAGAAAGGAGATTCCCCACACTGGAAAGTTGGTTGTCAGCCCAAGAGGTCATTAAGTGAGGAGTGGCTGTATTTACTAACGTGCTATTTGTTGCTCTCTATGTTAAACATTTATATGTATGATTTGTTTCATTCTTGAGACAACACTGTATGAGATAGGCATTCTTATCCTCATTAGTAGATGAAGAAAATGAAGAGAAGGACAATGAGAAAGCACCCTGCATGGAGGATGGTCATGGCACAATACCTTCTCCTCCATTTCTCCTTTTGGGATTTGGGGTATGCATACACTTGCATGTGTTTCAAGCCACTGGATCTGGGACCCAAACCATGCCATTGGGCATGTAGGATCCAGCCACCTTAACCACAATGCCACTGGCTGGACCTGAAGTCTTTCATATATTAGCTCTGATTTCGCGTTCTAATTTAATGTTCTGATCAACTAATCTCAAAGGAGGGAAACTATTCATTGAATATTTCTTGACATTGGTGTATACAATTTAAATATATAAATCAATAAATCTAAGGCATTTCATTTATATAGAATCTGGCCATCTGTCTCGGATCTTGAATTTCCTCTATCAGCTCAGATAATTATCATAATTATAAATACAATAAGGGAGTTACTACTATTACATTTTTCAACTATTCCTATTACTACCACTTTCCATGAGCATTACCTGTGTACCAGGACCCTACACTCTAGTACAGTGCAGGCACTATGGAGAAGTACGGAGCAGAAGACTGACTCATCCTGCAGCACTCCCTTCCTACATGAGGCAGCCAGACACATAAAAACAACTAGAAAGCTGAAAACAACCAGGTGTCTATCACCCAGTTTAGCCAACCAGGTGGTGTGTTCTACTGTGGAACACTATTCAGCCATAAAAAGGGGCAGGCTATTGATACTACAGTAGCATGGATCAATCTGAAAAGCATGATGCTAACTGAAAGGTTCAAAAGAGTACATGCTGTATGACCCCATTATTCCAATGTGCAGGAATAGGCAATACTATACTACTCTGTGGCTAAAATAAAATAAAATAAAATAAAGATAAAAACTGGGGCCAGCAGGTGGCATAGTGGTTAAGGTGTTGTACTCCCATGTGGTCAACCAGGGTTCAAGTCCCTGACCTGGTGGCTTGAAACTCATGCCAGGCACATGTGCATACATGCCCAAAATCCCTAGAGGAGACTGGAGAAGGGATTGTGGTGTGGCCATCTCCCTTGGGGGGTGATTTTTCATTTTCTGTCTCTGTCTCTCCAGTGAGTACACATGCCCTATAGCAAAAATCCCTTTAAAAAATTAGTTGTCTCTTGGGGTAAGGATAGGAATTGACTGGGAAGTGGCACAAAGGAATGAGGTGTCTGGGATAGAGGTCATGTCCTGTATTGTCACAGGGGTTTACAGTGCACAGCAAATACATTTATCAAAATTCACCTAATGATCCACTTAAGATCTGTGGATTTCATTAATGTTGCCTTAACAAAAGCAAGAACAAATATTGAACTCTAGTTAATGATGTGTAGGTCGAAGTACAAAGGAGTCGTCAAAAAGTTCACAGAAGGGACCAGAAGTTGGTGTAATGGCTATGTCACTGAACTCCCATGTAGTCGACCGCGGTTCGAGCTCAGACCTGGTGGCTTAAACTTATGCCGGGCGTGTGTGCGTGTGTGCCCAAGATCCCGAGAGGAGAATCGAGGAGAAGGGATTGCAGCGTGGCCATGCCCCCCCCCGAGGGTTGATTTCTCGCTTTCTGTCTCTCTGTCTCTCTCTGTCTTTCTGGCAAGCACACGCGCCCTATAGCAAAAACCTCTCTAAAAAAATAATAATGACAATAAATAAATAAATAAAAAGTTGACAGAAATCATGTGTTATTAAAAAAAAGTAATCTATGCTCAGGGAGCCAACATAAGGCAGCTATTCCACATGGCCAACAGCACAGTTCAAGTCCCAGACCCAGTGGCTTGAAAAACATGCCAGGCCCATGTGCATGTGTGCCCAAAATCCTGAGAAGAGAATAGAGGAGAAAGGATTACAGTGTGACCATTCCCACTGGGGAGTGCTTTTTCATTCTCCCTCTCTCTCTTTTTCTCTCTCTCTCGAGTGCCCATGCCCTATAGCAAAACTAAGAAAAGCAGATACAAACAAAAAACCAAAAACAATAAAAAAACTATGCATGGATTTCAAAACTTTTTATACTTCAATCTTTTCATACTTTAATTCCATTTTCCATGAACTTTTTGATGTCTCCTTGTGCTACTTTGAATGCATTAGGAAAAAAGACAGAGTGATGGAAGGAGGAGAGATGGACAGATGGGATAGAAGGACAGATGGGCAGGTAGATGATGAGGTGAACACAGCTCACTGGTCCCTGAAGAAGTCAGGTAGAAGGTATCTTGGTGTTCACTGTACAGTTCTTTGAACTTAGTTGTGTGTTTGAAATTTTTCATAATAAAGAGACGGGGGGAGGTGGGAAACATTAGAAGGCAGTTTTCAAACTGGGTTTCCACGCAGGTCGGTGAGGCATAGAGCAGGAGTATGACAGACTGGCTGTTCCCAGCCTTGAGTGTCAGTCTGCTGGACCAGAGCCTGGGGCTTTTGCAGGTCCTTGGCCTTCACGGTTCTGTTAACTGGGAATCAGTTGACTCCTAGCTGTTGTCTAAACACAACCAGACTAGACATAAAACATACCATAATTATAGCTCTTGGCTTTGTAAAGGCCTTGTCCCATATTTTCAAAACAGGTAAAGAAAAAAATGTCTGCCGACTCCAGGCACTTACTACCGCCTTTGCAGCAGTTTGGGCTGGGAACTAGGGTTGCCTTAGAGGTGGGACTGGCTCTGTGTTTCCCAAGCTGGGAAGTGGCCGTGCAGCTGGAAGGCCGGATGAAAAAAGGACAGGCCAAACGATTCATTTTCTCCTGGAGTGTGAGTCTGGGCTGCAATCCGTGGCTATTACGAGCTGGACTTGCCTAGAGTACCCCGGTCCCCAGGGAGGACGATGGCTCGCTAGTCTGAATTCCAGCCACCTGGCATCTGCCATCAGCATACCTGCCTTCACGGCATCTCCGCCTCTGCTCTTGTTTTCAAAAGTTGGAAAGCAAAAGGACAGGGCCAAAAAGAGGCAAACTGCTTCTACCCTTGACATGGCCCCATCTCCGTTCTCATCTCAGGTGATCGTGTTGCCATTGAGCCTGGTGCTCCCCGAGAAATTGACGAGTTCTGCAAGATTGGCCGATACAATCTGTCACCGTCCATCTTCTTCTGTGCCACGCCTCCTGATGACGGGAACCTCTGCCGATTCTACAAGCACAACGCGAACTTCTGCTACAAGTTAGTATCAGTGGCCCAGCAGTGTCACCTGGGACCTCTGTCCCTCTTTTTGTTTGATGATCTTGCCTCTAGTTCCCCAGGGCAATTTCTTTATTATTTTCAGCTCAAAATTCCAAGCCCGAGGCATCCCTCTGGCAGGCCTGTCCTTCTCGGTGACATTGAGGCAGAGTAGCTCCACTGGGGCTAAGACTGACTCACTGTGTTTGGTTTTAGTCTTTCCATCTAACTGTCCCTCACATCGGGCTCTAGACCCGGTGGTTAAGACAACTGGATCTCACATGGACTACAGTGATGTTTGAGTCCTAGACCCAGAGACACATGCTGGGCACATGGGTGCATGTCCCAGATCTCAGAACGGGAGGAGATATGGAGGAGAAGGGATTGCAGGGTGACCATTCCTCACAGAGGGGCGCTTTCTCTCTCTCTCTCTCTGGTAAGTACAGGCACCTTCTAGAAAAAAAAAAAAAAAAAAATTAGAGAATTGTTGCTGGATTCGCTCTCCCGCTGCAGCCACCCTGGAGAGAACTTGTTACAGTTCATCCCTCAGCACTGGTTTCCGCTGCAGCCCCTAGAAAGTGAGACTATGACAATGACCGTGAGAACAGCAACAAACAATAACGGCAACAACTGACACACTGAAGAGGCATGGTCTGGTGCCGGGACATGAGTGTGGTGGTCCTGAGTACACTCCCTCCTAGTCAGCGACTCTGGAGGCATGATTTACTCTTCCTCTGCTTTAGTTTCATTCAATCATCAGAAGAGTAGATTTAAAAAAGCATGTAAAAATCGTAATTACTATTATAACATGCCTGCCTTTGTGCTAGTAAGTGCTTTGCATGCCTTATCCTATTTAATCTTTGCAAGAATATTGGTGAGGCGGGCACAGTTATTGCAGTTTTACGCAAGGGTTAACTGAGGCAAAAGGAGGCTTGGGCCAGCTAGGTGGTGCTCTATAAGCAGGTCACACGGGCAGAGTCAGCAAGTGGTTCCTGAGTCAGCCCATCTTTTTCTGGGCCCTCTCCAAGTAGAGGCACCACAAACATCTTCACAGGAGAAGGAAGAGAGAATGGTACAGTTCAATAGGAACCACTGGTCTCTGCCACTAACCAACTCTGATGTTGAGCCACTCACCTCAACTGCTGATGAGACTCAATGATAGGGCTACCAAGTACTCAGCACAAGGACAGGCACCCAGAGGCGTCATAGCCATGGTCTGTGCTCTAGGGCATGGGGGTACAGGATTAGGCCCGAAAGGGAGCCTCGGGGGTGGGGGTGGGGGTGCTTTGTAGGGAATGGTGGGATTGGGAGTGTTCTGATTGGCAGTGGTGATGGGAGGGCTGAGGAGGTTTCCTATTGGCTGTGCAAGCCCCACCTCCCCTCTCCTCCAGGGCACTTTCTGTCTGTGTGCCAGCCTCCTCATGGATCTCTCTGACTTCTGTTTGTGAGGATTCCTAATGACCACAGCCTCTTTATTTTCCTACCCACCTGTTTTATTGGTTGTTTTCTATCTTCCTGCTTCTTTCATGACTTCTTGACCATCCTTTTCTCCCTGTAGCCTGTTTCCTGAAAAGAACCATTGTAGAACTATCAAGGTGCCTTGTCATTCCCTGGTCTTTATAAAGTCATGAAAGGTTAGAGATGGGAAGAAACTTAGAGTCCTCTTATGCCTGTGCCTCATCAGCCCCCAGTGGGAAAGGTTGGGGAGGGAAGACTCAGTGACTCCCCCAAGGTTAGCAGCTAAGGGACTGGGCCCCAGGTCTCCTTGTCTGCACTGGAGCCTCCACGCCAGGCAGCCTTCCTACATTGACTGTGTTGGAGTAGGTGTGATGAGGCATGTACCTAGCTGGGAGGAAACTCTCCCAGATAACAATCCTTTCTCATCACCTTCCCCAACCCCTTCTCTTCTTGGTGCAGCTCCCCCCAAAGGCTCCCTTGGCTTAGAGCTCTGTGCGAGGCCCAGACGTGAAGGGGCAGGCTTCCTCCTAGAGCTCATGGTGGAGCTCCTTGAGACAGTTTGGGAGTCTTCCTTATTAATTTTTTTTAATATATGAAAAGACATTTTATTATTATTTTATTACATAACCTATTAGTCAATACACCACATGGGCTTTTCTTAAATGACAAGTGAGGCACGTTTCTGAGTCCTGAGAACCTCCATGTCATCTGTCCCTTGGAGGGTCCAGTTTCTTACGACGTCTGTGATACTGTCCCTGAGGAAACCAACGGTGCTTGGTAGTAAAGGGCATGCTGCTAAGTTGTTCCATCATGATTCCTTGCTCACGCTGTCCACTTTTCTCTTCTAACCTGGATTTCAGCGCCCGGTCATGTGTTTCTTTGTTATTATGCACAGGATCTGGTCTAGGGGCAGGTTTTGTGTGTTCATATGGAATGTCCACAGATGGGTGGTAGCACACTATCACCCTGCCATCAGATGTCAAAGCAAGCTCCACTTTGCAATGATAGTCATCTGGAAGAGAAGAATACGGAGATTTATGACAAACACAATATAAAGCTCCATTTTGGGTTGGAAAGAAATGTTTCAAGATAGTTAGTTGTCTTTGATATCACATATTTTATTGTTACTACTGCCATGGCGAATCAAGAGGCTTCTTAGATGGTACAAAAAAAGTTATTCCGGAGAGAAACTGCTTTGACAATCTGCTTTTAGACAAACTACTTTTCAACCCTTGATAGTCCCTGTGAGCCCATCATCTTGTCTCTCTCCGGGTCCTACGAGACACCCTTTTCCTTATTAATTTCAACCTTCTTTCCTTATAGGACCAATGCCCGTAGGGTAGGCAGAGGGGGCGTGGACAGCAGCTGGAGCAGGGAAACCTGTGAGAGAAGCAGAGGGGACAGGACGGGAGAAGCGGGGGTGGTGGGCAGCAGCCAGGCCAGATGCAGGCCTTTTGACTTATTCTGTTGAGGACGGGGCAAAGTCACAGGAAGCCTGTGGGGTTGAGCACACGATCTAGCTACCACCTTCTTTTCTTTTTCAGAACTTGAAGGTTTTCATGTTCTTGGGTGTGAAGGTCTGGGGGACACTGGGTCAGTACTGGGAAATGGGTGTTAGCCACAGGGCTTCGGGTGCCCAGAGGCAGCTGATGTGGGGCAGACTAAGGAGGTGGAATCAGCAGACTCTGGATGTAAGTCGTGCTTTTCTACTCGCTAACCTTGTAACCTTGGGCGAGATTCTTAATGTCATTGAGTTTCAGTTTCCTTTTCTGTAAAATAAAAATAAAAATGAAGCCTGCTCTTCCTGCCTGACAGGGTTATCAGAGGATTAAATGAGAAAATGGATGAGAAAGCTCTGGCATCTGTAAAGCCTTATGCAAATGTTTGCTGTCATCATCAGAGGAATTGTGAATAGGGCCAAAATGCCAGTGGGCTGCTGGTGAAAACCAAGAGCCCCACGGGGAAGGTGACACAGCATTTGTCTGCTATGCGGAACAGGCCCTTGTCCAATCCTACAGTGTCCTAGACAGCTGCTGTCATCAGATGTGGCTCTTCTGGAACGTGTAATATGGGGAATGAGGACCAGAGTGATGCCCACTGCTACATCACTATTCTGCAAGCTGCTGCTTGTTGAGATTGTTTGCCAAAGTGAAACCAGAAAGGCTTGAGAAGCAGATGTGCAGGGATGTGCTTGTCTAATACTCCTGTTAACCCTTCATTAAGGAAATCTTTAATTCATTAAGGACGACTATACCATGCCTTAGCTTGCATGGCACATCAAAGAAAATAGAATGTGTCCACATTCACTGAAGTCATGTCTCCAAAGAAAATGATCTTCAGAGGGAGGCCGTGTGGCATGGATTCTGGAATCAGACACATCTGGCTTCTAATTTGAACCCTTTGAGCCCCTCATGAGATTTGAACCTTTGGGGGAAATGATTTACCCCCTTCAAGCCTCAGTTTCCTCATCTGCAAAATGGAAATAATATTATAGAGCCTGTAGTTCCAAGGATCCACATGAGTGAGTCTATATAAGTTGATGAACATTGCCCTGCACATACATAAGTGCTCAATAAATGTCAGCTATTGTTATTATGATATCCTCGGGCATACACAATATAATGCTAATGTTGGTGTTAACCACAGTTAACCCACAGGGTCTAACTGTGCATGTTGAATGACTTTTCAGGCTTCCTGACAATGTCACCTTTGAGGAAGGGGCCCTGATTGAACCACTGTCTGTGGGGATCCATGCCTGCCAGCGAGGTGGCGTCACCCTGGGGAACAAGGTCCTGGTGTGTGGAGCTGGTAAGAAACAGACAGTGCTCTGGTTATGGGTTCATTGGCCAGGAATGTGGTACCCTCTGCCCATCTCATTCCCCTCCAAAGACTGAGATTGCTACTAGAATCTGGGTCAGGAAGGATTATGGTGTCCCATTTCTTCAGGGACCAGCACTTTGCTAAATAAATGAGCATCTGTAGATAAGATAGAAACTAGTATTACATTTCCTAGGCAGATAACCCATTTGTTCATTTCAAGAGTGAATCTTGTGATTATTTTTGAATTCTTGCCAGGAAACTAGGGGAAAAATTTTGGTAGTAAAGGGAAAGGTAACTTACAGAACTTTCAAATCATGCCAGAGAAGTAATGACTTAGTCCCATCCATGAATATGGTAGACCCTGTGCGTGGCTGGGGGGAGAGTGGAATCAGACTACCACGAGCCAGCACTCTGCCTGCAGCAGGTTGCAGCGAGCTGCTTTCTCTCATCCCCTGTTTCCAGTCACTCAGAGCAAGCCTTAGCAGCCTCAGACAGAATCATTCGAAGTTTCTCACAGCTCGTGACTCAGACAGCACACTCACATGTCATACTCCTGTGGGTGTGAGCTGGTATTCCTCAAATACATTCGTGAGTGACTACTGTCTTTGACAGGGTTAAGTAAGTGACTACAGGTCTTCCTCCAGGGGAGATGGGTATAAACAGACTTCCTTCATTAGCCAGTAGACTGCAGGACTCAGGGAGCAGATTTTTCTAAAAACCTGCATAAATAATCTCTTTTTGCCATAGAAAAGGAAAATAACTATGCATACCACACCAATGTGTGTCTCTACCACCACAGAAATTTACTCACACTCCTATTACCGATCTGCTTGACAGGAGCACTAAAATTTTGGTGTAGAAATTATTTTCTTTCTTTCTTTCTTTCTTTCTTTCTTTCTTTCTTTCTTTCTTCCTTCCTTCCTTCCTTCCTTCCTTCCTTCCTTCCTTCCTTCCTTCCTTCCTTCCTTCCTTTCTTTCTTTTTCTTTTTTTTTGAATGAGAACATGCTGGGCCAGCCCATGGCCTGGTGGTTAAGACAGCTGGACCCCACATAACTGACACACTGTTCAAGTCCCAAACCTGGTAGCTTTAAAAACACACCAGGTATGTGTGTGTGCATGCCTAAAATACTAAAAGGAGGGAGAAATGGAGGAGAAGGGGTTGTAGTGTCACCATTCTCCCTGGGGTGGGGGAAGGTCCTTTGTCACTTTTTCTCTTTCTATCTGTCTCTCTGGCAAACGCACACACACCCTATGGCAGAATTCAGAAAAAAAAAAAAAAAGAGACCTGGGACCCAGCAGGTGGCATGGTGGTTAAGGCACTGCACTCGCACGTAGTCGATCATGTTCAAGTCCCAGACCTGGTACCTTAAAACTCACCAGGTGTATGTGTGTGCGTACCCAAAATTCCAAGAGGAGGGTGGAGGAGAAGGGAATTGTGGTGTGACCATTCCCCAGGGGGGATTTCTTGCTTTCTGTCTCTCTGGTGAGCACATGTGCCCTATAGCAAATCTCTCTCTAAGGGACCAGCAGGTGGCATAATGGTTACACTGCTGGACTCCCACATGGCTGACCACAGTTTGTGTCCCAAACCTGGTGGCTCCAAACTCATGCAGGGTGCATGTGTGTGTGTGCCCAAGATTATGAGAGGAGAGTGGTGGAGAAGGGATTGCAGCATGGCCATGTCACTGGGGGGTGATTTCTCACTTTCCATCTCTGTCTCTTTCTCTCTGGCAAGCACACATGCCCTTTAGCAGAAATATCTCTTAAAAAACAAAAACAGAAACAAAAAAATTCTCTAAAAAAGAAAACAATGAGACCACGCTAAGTATGTTTTAATATGTTTCCTTTTACCTACTATTTTATATCTTTCTTTCTTTGTTTTTTCTTTAAAAATTCATGGTAGTGGCCAGCAGGTGGTATGGTAATTAAGGTGCTAGATTCCCGCATGGCTGACTGCAATTTGAGTCTTGGACCCAGTTGAAGTCCTGGACCCAGCAGCTTGAAAATCACACTGGGCATGTGAATGTGCTCAAAATCCCAGGAGGAGAATGGAGGAAAAGGGGATTATAGCATGGCTCTCCCCCCTGGGGGATGATTTCTCACTTTCCCTCACTCTCTCTGTCTCTCTTCAGCAAGTGCATATGCCCTATGACAAAAAAAAAAAAATTCACAATAGAGAATGGGTGTGTGTGCATGCACTTGTGAGAGAAAGAGAGAGGAAGGCATCTTCCAACAGGATCTAGTCACCCCATGATTCCCTCCCCGTTGGCCTTTCAGATTGTCCGGATCTTGGGCACGCCCATGCAGTCCAAACCCACATTCAGCCGTGTGGCTTCCAGCCCTGTGTTTCAGCATTCTGCCAACCGCACCTCTGGCTGGGCCTTACATACCCTCTTTTTTTTTTTTTCTACTTCAGATATTATTTTTATTTAAAGAAAGAGAAAAAGGGACCAGCAGATGGGGTAATGATTACGTCGCTGGACTACTCACATAACTGACTGTGGTTCGAGTCCTCGACCCAGTAGCTTAAAACTCATGCAGGGCGTGTGTGCTTGTGTGCCCAAGATCCTGAGAGGAAAATGGAGGAGGAGGGATTGTGGCATGGCCATCTTGCCAAGGGGTGATTTCTTGCTCTCTGTCTCTCCCTGCCTCTCTGGTAGGTGCACGCACCCTATATCAAAAATTGTTAAAAATAAATAAATAAAAAGAAAGAGAGAGATAGAGAGAGAGAGAGGAAAAGTATTTAAATGATCATCTGCATTTTCTTCTGTAATAAAAGAGATAGCTACTCATTTAGATTTATTTATCCTTTAGCAACTGAAGCATTAAATGATGCCAGTTTTTATTCGCAGTTCTTAATATTTATTATATTTGAGACTGTTTAACTTTATCTTGGAGAAAGAGAAGCCCAGGCATAAATCTTTACACTATCCCTCTACTAGTCCTATAATATTTTTTTTTCTTCTTTTTTTTAGATTTTTGCTAAAGGCGCATGCAGTTGCTGGAGAGACAAATATACAGATACAGACAGAGGGAAAGTGAAAAATCATCCCCCAGGGGAGATGGCCACACTGCAATCCCTTCTCCTTCATTCCCCTCTCAGGATTTTAGGCATGCACGCACACAAGCCACAGGGTCTAGGATTTGAACTACAGTCAGCCATGTGGGAATCCAGCACCTTAGACACCATGCCACCTGCTGGCCCCCTGCAACACAATTTTAATAAAAATGTTCTACTGATACTTGGGTAATTTTTATGATGTGAACAGAAATATCAACAAGAGTGATTGTAAAAAGTGGCCAGTTTTATAAGTTAAGAGTTAAGGTCTTTGGGACCAGCAGCTGGTGTAATAGCTATGTTGCTGGACTCCCATGTAGTCGACCGCAGTTCAAGTCTCAGACCCAATGGCTTAAACTCACGCCGAGCAAGTGTGCGTGCGTGCCCAAGATCCTGAGCAGAGAATGGAGGGGAAGGGATTGAAGCGTAGCCATCCCTCCAGGGGGTGATTTCTCATTTTCCAGCTCTCTGTCTCTCTTTGTCTTTCTGACAAGCGCATGCGCCCTATAGCAAAAACCTCTCAAAAAAAAAAAAAAAAAGAGTTAGGGCCTTTGATCCATTTCTCAATCCACGTCAACATTTGGTTTATCTTATCCTGTAGCTCTTCTGGTTTATTGCTGAGAAGGTGGTGCGCAGTTTCTTCCTTGTAGGATGCTGTGGCTTTTTCATAAAGGACTTGAAAAATCTCACACTGAGTATTTTCTTTTCGTTTCTTTTCACTATGACTCCTTGTTTTAAGTCTTTTGTACAATATATTATTATCAGTTCTCAGCACAAAAATGATAAGAAACCAGTGTTCGGGGAAGAAATCACAACCACAGTAACCAACAATAACTCCACTTTCTCTCACCTGGTTTTCTAACTCATCAACTACTCTGTCTTCATCTAAAGTGGGACAATCATATTCTTCATCACAGCTATCATACAACTGCCCTTCTCAAACTCAGTCACCCACCGTAATGTATTTCAGTTCTGATCTTGATGCAAGTTCTTTGCCTGGTGTGGTTTCGCAACTCCTGGTGTACCGATCAGCAAGGTGTTTGGAAGCACCATAGTTTTCATGGCAATGGCTCCCGGCGCCTCGGCTCAGGCACTGCTGGGAGACTCTTTTTCATTTTTTTGAATCAGTGTACTGTGAACACTTTTCATATCAATAGGTAAAGAATTATGGCATCACTTTTAATAGCTGGGTAGTGTCTCACTATAGTTTCTTTAACTAATTTCTCTCTGTTGGACATTTCAGATATTATTTTCCAGTATTCTGCCTTCTGAGAGGACTCATAAAGTTGTTTTCAAGGGGTGTGTACAAAAAGCAAATCCCTAAAGTATTCTGCACTGCCTCGTTTTGTGGGTCTGATTTTTATATTAAACCCATAGTGTCTAGGCCAGCAGGTGGCATAGTGGTTAAGGTGTGGACTCCCACATGGCTGGTACAGTTTGAGTCCTAGATCTGGCCACTTGAAACTCACGCTGGGCACCTGTGTGTGCATGCCCAAAAATCCCAGGAGGAGAGAGGAGAAGGGATTGTGGTGTGGCATCTCCTCCAGGGAGTGGGAGGTGAATTTCTCATTTTATTTCCCACTGTCTCTCTGTCTTTCCGGCGAGCACTAACCCCTGCCTGCCATGGCAAAAACCTAAAATAAAACAAACAAACAAACCTCCATAGTGTCAAGTCTGCTCCATAGTGTAGCAGTACTGTGCTGCTTAAGAAAAGTTCAATCCCTGGGACCAGCAGTTAGCGTAATGGCTATGTCACTGGACTCCCATGTAGTTGACTGCGGTTCGCGTCCCGGACCCAGCAGCTTAAACTCACGCCGGGTGTGTGTGCGTGCGTGCCCAAGATCCCAAGAGGAGAATGGAGGAGAAGGGATTGCGGTGTGGCCATCCCCCTGGGGGGATTATTTCTCACTTTCTGTCTCTCTGTCTCTCTCCGTCTTTCTGGTGAGCGCATGCACCGTATAGCAAAAAAAAAAAAAAAAAAAAGTCCAATCCCACGAGGTGAGTTCCCGTTTGAATCCCCGGCCTGCTCAGCCTGAAATGTGCTGGGCACATCTGTGTACCAACTAGATCACTGGAGGATGGGAATTGTGGCATGACCAGACGCTGCAGAGGTTGCTCACCTCTTTCTCTATATATTCTTTGATTTCCACGGGGGATATGTGCCCACCAGAGAGAAAGAAAAAGTAGCTGCTCCCGAAGGGTGTGGTCACACTGCTACCCCTTTCCTCCAGTTTCTCCTTTCCCATCAGGATTTTGGGCACACGTGCGCATAAGCCTGGAGTGTTTTTCAGGCTGCTGGGACTGGAAATTGATCTGCAGTTGGCCATGTAGGATCTGGCTTCCAATGCCCTGCACTTAACTGCTGTGCCACAGGGCCAGCTCTCTCTCTCGTCCCCCATTGTCACACGTGTGCACATGAATTAAAAAAATAATAGTTATTAAAAACAAACAAAGCTACCTATAGTGTCTAATGGAAAGCAAATGGTCTCCAGCTAGTTCTGGGACTCTTGAGTATTCTGGAGTTACCCATGAAGCTGAGTTACCCCATGGAGCCACCTCATGTAAGGACACCCTCTCGGGTGATCCTAAGAGGGCACTTGGAAAGGATATGTCTCCCCCTGGGGAGGTATGATGGGTTCTCACTGAGATGAGGTCAAAGAGAGAACAGGAAAATGTATCCAGAATTTTTTTTTTTTTTTGGAGAGATTTTTCCTATAGGGCGCGTGCGCTCGCCAGACAGAGAGAGAGATAGAGACAGAAAGCGAGAAATCATCCCCCAGGGGGGATGGTCACGCCGCAGTCCCTTCTCCTCCATTCTCCTCTCGGGATCTTGAGCACACACGCACACACACCCGGTGTGAGATTTAAGCCACCGGGTCCGGGACGCAAACTGCAGTCGACTACGTGGGAGTCCAGCGACATAGCCATTACGCTAACTGCTGGTTCCCTATCCAGAACTTTTGAGGCTTCTTAGTCTCTGAACAAGTATGCAAGTCCTAGAATTCCCTGGTTCTTTGAGACTACCTCCAAGCAGTGTCCAAGAGTAACTGGGAAATTTCTAGCTGTAGATATGAAAGGATCAAATAGAACCTACTACTCCGCTAATTTCACATGGGGAACAATTCTTCATGCAGTCATTCACTTCTGCACTTAACGAACAGTTGTTAAGGTCTCAGCAGGTGCCAGACACTGGGATAGATGCTAAAGACATGCAAAAAATATGGCTCTTGTCCATGGCATGGGTGTAAGAGGGAATGCTCGTGTTTAATATTTCATAAACGTCTCCCATTTTCTGCTTCATTTAGGGCCCATTGGGCTGGTCACCTTGATTGTGGCCAAGGCTATGGGAGCAGCTCAAGTGCTGGTGACTGGTAAGGATTTCTTTGAAATGTCTTTGAAGGGGAGGCTGCTGGGCCCAGGGTTTTGGGCAGAGGTGCAAGATACATTCCCTTCTTGAATTACTAGTTTTCCAAAAAGGTTCCTTCTCCTTTCTTCTGGGTGCAAGGCTTAAGACAAGGCTATTTTGTGAAGAATGGGGTGGCTGCCAGAGGACAGGGCCCTTTGTAAGTGGTCCTTAGCTGCTGGTATGGCGCCTTTGGTCCTAAGAGAAGGCTCATCCCAGGCCTATTTGAGCTCAGGCGGCAAGGAGGATGTGATTGTGTATGTGATGTGGAGTTGGTGGTATGTGTGACATGCATGTCAGGGGTGTCTGTGTGAGAGGTGTTCTGTGGTGCAGGTTGGAGATGGAAGGGAACGTGAGTGCGTACGTGAGGAGAGGTTATTTCTGAGAGTGGGGAGATGAGTGTGGTTGGTGGGATGTAGAAGGGCGTGTGTGGATTTTGTGTGACGAGAAGCCATCCGTGACTGTGTGTTTTTGTGGTGGGTATCGGGGCATATGGGATGTCGACGGCTGTGAATGTGCTCTTTGTGTGAGGAGAAGGTATCCGCGAGAGTACATGTCTGTGTGCAGCTATGCCGAGCTTTGTCGTATAGATGGGGTCATGTGATGCTGTGGAGGGGTGCAGGTGTGTTTTGCTGGGGGAGAAGCTCTCTGTAATGGAGAGAGAGTGTGTGTAGAACGGCAAGGTGTTTAGTTTTCTAATCAGTTTTTGGGAGTCAGTGTCTCCATTTTAAAGGAATTTTTGTTTACCCATAGATCTGTCTGCCTCTCGATTGTCCAAAGCCAAGGAAGTCGGGGCTGATATAATCCTGCAGATCTCCAAGGAGAGCCCTCGGGAAGTGGCCAGTAAAGTGGAAGGTCTGCTGGGCTGTAAGCCGGAGGTCACCCTCGAGTGCACAGGGGCAGAGGCCGCCATCCAGTCGGGCATCTATGTGAGTGGGATGGGAAGTGGGGATGGCGGGCAGCTTCCTAGGGTAGACCCCTGCAAGCATGCTTCCCCTCAGCCTGCTGCGTGACCACCCCCACCCCCGGGCAGAATCAGCTCATTTCTTTGGCATCCCTGCTTTCTGACCTCACGTGGAGGGTGGAAGGGGCAGAGGTGGCAGAGTTAAGTAGGTCCTCACAGGGTCGTCATGAGGGTCAAATAAATTAAGGTATGTAATACATGGGCCTTGGAAAATGCTAAGTGGGGGCCAGCAGGTGGTGTGGTGGTTAAGGCGCTGGAGCCCTACATGGCCAATTGCATGTTCAAGCCCTGGACCTGGTGGTTTGCAAATCATTCCATGTATTCATGAGTACCCAAAATCCCAAAAGGAGAATACAGGAGAAGGAATTGTGTCATGGCCATCACTCCCAGGGGGTGATTTCTCACTTTCTCTACCTCTCTGTCTCTCTCCAGCAAGTGCACATTCCTTATGGCAGAAACCTAAAGAAAAAGAAATGCTAAGTGATCCATACCTCTCGGATGGAGTTGCCTTTATGACCGTATCTATGGTCATTAAAACTGTACTCTCAGTAGAAAGTTCAAAAGGAGGAACAGGAAACTATGTCAGTCTGGGAAAACCCTACCTTATTTTATGGAGAGAAAACTGCAAGCTTTGAGTCATTGATACAGGCTGGCAGCATTAATTCAGTTAGTCACAAGAGTGAGGTGATTTTTCAGGGTCATAGTTGGCTACTGCTGTGCTCTGTCCCAGATCGAGGGACAGATAAAGTGCCAGTGCCTGATTCACACGACAGGGGCCTACAGGCCATTTCTGGGAAGATGGTCAGGAGCTGGGAGTGCGGGAAGGGCGTGGCATTGATAGATCCAAGTATCAGAGAGAAGGGGAAAGGATAACTTCGGAGTTCCGAGCTCTGCCATGTGCCGGGGCTTCTGCAGAGTTCTTTACAAACACGATGCCTGCTCTGCTCAGTAGTCCTGGAAGTCCACTACCATTTTACACCGAGTCTACTGCCTTGCCTTGAGCATGCCACGGTAAGTGGCCAAGTCAGATCGAAGCCCAGCCCTGCCTCCTCCCCACCCCCACGCCTCCCAGCTTTCCAGACTCCCTCCTGCTACCTAGGAGGGGTCAGGCTGGGGAGGGCAACAGTGGCTGCCACCATGGGACACTCCTGTCCCCACCTTCCAGACTGTTTCTGCACCACAGCATAGGGTTCCTCCTTCCTTCTGAATCACAGGTGGTTTATGCACGAGGGCAGGCGAGGACACTTGGCACGTGAGACATTCTGGAGAAAGCTGACCTCATGCTGTGTGACACATCCCCAGGCCTGGCCTCCGGGAAGAGCTACCTAGTCTTCCTCCTACCTAGATGCCCAGTAGCAATGGGGGTTGAGGAAGAGGGAGGCACAGAGGAGAAGGTGCCCCCTTCACTCTGCCCCAAGTTTCAGTGGAAGTTGGCGAACTCTCTGCTGTTATCAGTGTCACCATGTACACAGGGGCAGAGAGAAACCGAAACTCAGAGGGGTAATGGGTCTAATTGTGACATGCGATGGGCACTGCTGTGTGCCAGGCTTTGTGCTGGGTACCTCGAGAGCTATGATGTGGAGTAAGGTGTGTCTGCTGCGTTCACGTCATTGGCGGGGCAATGACCCTCACTCCACAGAGTAGCAGTGTAAGCTGAGGGACTTAAAGGACATGGCTTCCTTCCTCCTCTGCCCTGCCCTGAGAGCATTCAAGAGCACTTGTTGTCTCTAGCTGTTGATGGTGATGGCCCTGTTGCCAGGCTACCCGGGGTGGACATGGAGGCGAATGTGACCCAAGCGCCTTGCCAGCCCAAAGTGGTGTCTCTCCTGACATGGGGAGTGGTGCCATCATGCGTGGCGGGTGTTCTGGAATGCTACAGGCCATGCTGCTAGTGGGCAGGTTAGGCAGCAGCACCAGATAAGGCATATCTGAGTGTCCTCTTCCTATCAGGTCATGACTAGACTGTGTTTGTGAGGAGATGCGACAGTGCCTTGTGTAGCACTAATGTCCCCTCTTTGGTGCAGAGGTCACATCCACAAGGTAATGGCCAGGTAGTCTGAGCATTCCAGCCTCCTGACAGCTTGAGATGGCCAGTTGGTGGAGTTCCCCCTCACTACCAGGTGGAGAGGAGGTGCTGCTAGGGAACCAGCGTTTAGAGAATTTTTCTGAGGGGACCAGCAAATGGTGTAATGGTTCCGTCGCTGGACTCCCATGTAGTGAACCGTTGTTCGAGTCCTGGACTCAGCAGCTTAAAACACCCGGGCATGTGTGCGTGCGTGCCCAAAATCCTGAGAGGAGAATGGAGGAGAAGGGATTGCAGCATGGGCATCCCCCCTGGGGAGTAGGGGGTGATTTTTTTGTTTTCTGTCTCTTTGTCTCTCTGGTAAGCACATGTGCCTTATAGCAAAAATATCTCTTAAAAAAATGTCTCAGTCACAAAAGTTGCGTAAACTGTAGAGCTGTGTGGCGTACATATTAACATAGGGGCATGTGTGAGGGTGCAAAAGGGCATGCGTGTCTCGTGTGAGGAGATGGTGTCTGAGAGCGTGTGAGTGTGTGGATGTGGCTGTGTAGAGCTGTGTGACGCACTCACAACTTTGACCCCTTGCTTCCATCTTTCCAATGGGCACAGCAACATCTTCCAGGTGTGCGTCTGTTTCTAGGTGGTTTGGAAGCAATTCTGCAGTCAGGAAAACACACCAAAGACTGAGCCCATGCTAGTGTCGAGCACATCCTCTGCCTACACACATGTGAGGAAGTCTGGGCTGACAAGTCCAGGGTGCCTCGTGTGAAAGCAGCAACACCGGGGGTCAGCCCCACACGGCCCAGACCCCGAGTCCCACCTCTCGCTGCCACCACTGCAAGCTTCTCTCCAGGCCACTTTCTTCCTCTCAGGCCAGAGGCTGCGCGTGGCTTTTTTGGACCTCCTTGCTATTTAGCACCTAGAATAGTCCCGATGAGTGCTCGCCGCTGCTACCGACTGCCGCGGGACGCACACGTGTCCTGTGTGTTTCTCAGATCTCTGGGCCTGGGACTTGAACGACAGGTGGTCATGTGGGATCCAGCCACCATAACCACCAGGCCATGACTGGCACCCATTTTTCTCTCTCTCAGCATCAAGCAGTGATCTCCAGAAAGCTCTGGAGCAGGCACACTCACATGGAGTTCTGTGGAAATTGCCAGGAGAGATTCTGCCTCCTCTGACCCTTCCAAGGAGGAAACTAACGAGAAGGATAGATATGCAAGGGACACAGAATCCATTCCAGCTGATACTGTCAGGATGTACCTCTCTAGGACAAAAAGATTCCTAACTGCCATCTGCAGGCATAAGGCAGTTTTCAAATCACAGAGTTCCAGTTGCCCTCCCCAGGTGTGCAGTGCTTGTTAGTTCTCCCTAACCCGTGAGCCGGGCCGGTGGATCCTTCGAGGTTTGACAAGAGCCCTGCCTTGTGGAGGGGTGCTCTGATGGAGGCACAGGTGCTCAGACATTCGGGAACTGAGGCCAGCTTCTCATCCTGAGCTTTGGACGATGCTCCCACAGTGCCTGGTTCTCCATTGCTCAAGGGTATTATTTCAGAATCTTTAAAGAAGATAATATTTGGGCCAGCCAGTGGCATGGTGGTTAAGGCAGCTAGGTCCCACGTGGCTGACTATGTGATTTGAGTCCTGGATGGAGAGGTTTGGAAAACACACCGGGCATGTGTACGTGTGTGCCCAAAATCCTAAGGGAGAATGGAGGAGAAGGGATTATGGAGTTGTCATCTCCCTTTGGGGGGTGATTTCTCACTCTCTCTCTCTCTTGCCTTCTATTTCTCTGGCAGTGCACAAGCCCTGTAGCAAACAACAACAAAAAAGAAGATAACATTTATTCTGCTGCTGGGTTAGTTATGTCCTACAATGCTGGACATAAAGACATAAATTATATTCTTTAAAAGTGTTTGATGCTCACTTGATGCAAGACAGGAGAGTGTTACCATGAATGAGAAGTCTGCGTTTTCTTATCTTCTGGGTTTTTTCTTTTTACCCTCCTCTTCAGGCCACTCGCTCTGGCGGGACCCTGGTGCTGGTGGGACTGGGCTCTGAGATGAGCACTGTCCCGCTGGTGCATGCAGCCATCCGGGAAGTGGACATCAAAGGCGTGTTTCGATACTGCAATACGTGAGTGTGCTGTGGGTTAGCCTGGGTGGTGAGCTGCCAGGCAGCCCAGGAGGCCTGGCTCCGCAACCCACAGGCCTGGCCCCACACGACCTCTGAGACCCAGAGTCTCTGCCTGTTTGTTTATGAGGGGCACTCCCTGGCCACACTGACAGCCCTGCGATATGAAAGAGATCGAAAGAGAGAACATTCAAACCTGACTAAAGAACAGGAGGGAGGGGCAGACAGAGGGAGGGCCGGAGGAAAGAGGACGTCTTAGTACATGTTCGTTGCTCATCACCCGGGCTCTTTCCATTTCCTGAAGTGGCTAGACCTTCATCTTCCCCATTTAAAGGGAAGGAGAGAAAAGAAAACAAAAGCAGGAAATCAAGTCCCTCATCTTCCACCCTGGGGAGAGTCTTATCTCACCCACCTGTGTTCTGCAACCCTCTTCAACCCCACTCTCCCTGCCGCCGGGACCTCTGTCCAGGACACCCTTCCCTTCCCCAGCAGGGCCCCTCACTCCCGGCTTCTGAGCCTCACACCACTCCCTCAGCAGAGCTTTCCAGTAAACTGTGAGCTGCTAACAGGTGTGACTGGGTTATGCTGGGCTGCCTCCCTGGGGTGTGTTTATCTGTGTCCTCACAGTGGCTACCACAGTATGCCTCTGCCTTCATGCCAAAGGAATTTTAACTTTCATGGCAGATGTCGCAGGGGTGTGGGGTGCAGTAGGAAACAGGCTCTGTACCTCCTAATTGCACACTGGGGTAATTTCTTCTGCTGGTCTGTAAAACTGGCCTTGCAGAACCTCAGTGCTACAAACAGACATGGCCAAACCTATCTTGTGCTTGGTCTTTTTGGAGCCATGACTCTTTCTACCCAAAGGTTGAATGTAATACTTTGGATCTTTTACAGGTGGCCAATGGCGATTTCTATGCTTGCATCCAAGTCTGTGAATGTAAAGCCCTTAGTCACCCATCGGTTTCCTCTGGAAAAAGCTCTGGAGGCCTTTGAAACAACCAAAAAGGGATTGGGGTTGAAAGTCATGCTCAAGTGTGACCCCGATGACCAGAATCCTTGAATTGGGTTCTGCCCTCATCCTCACCCTCTCGGCATCTCAGGGCTGAATGGCTGGGCAGGGTTGGGCTTTGGTGCAGAAGATTCTTTTGAATGGTAAGAATAATTAAAATAATTCATTGCACAGAGCAGCTGACAGGCCTTAGAGACACAAGTACAGATGGTTTAGGGGACCTGGTAACAAGAAGGACCTATTCATGTGGGGCAAAGTTGAGCAAGTAGAGTCATTTGGCAGGCAGGTGCTGGGAACTTCCCTTCTTCCTGGAGTGCCTTCCTTGAGTAAGGAGTGAAAGTTGGCCCTAGGTTCCTGGTTCTCCCTGACTGGTTAGGAGCGGGGTGGGGGCAGTGTTATAAAGAGACAACTTCCTCAAAACTTAATTGCCTCAGAAGTTGATTTTTTGAAAATTTGCAGCTCGGGCTTTGGGGTGAGGGATCGTTAGCCATTTTAGTTGGGAGCTCATTGTTGGTAAAGAATAGTGCTCTTTGGTTTGATGATGAAGGAGAATAAGAAAAAGGACTGACTTTCTTTGGTTCAGGACAATTTTAAAACCAATCAAATGAATACAACCCAAATCCCATGTGAAATCAAACAAGCTTGCCTCCCCCCAAGTGTGATAATAGGAGACTTCTCAACAGTCTTTGAAGACTGCCTCTTTAAAGCCTCAGAATTGTCCATTTTGCTTGTGAAGAACCACCTTCCCACCCCCACCCCACCCCAACACACACACACCCTTAGGCTCCTTCCCTTGTTACAGGGCAACCAGGAGTCTCTCCCACCTAAGCACAGTCAGGGAGGCCCTTCCATAGTACCTCAGAGGAGCCCAGGATGCCTGACTGCCCGCCCCACAGGATAGCAGCCCTTCCTAGGTTCACTCTCACTGGTGATTATGAGGCAATCACAATTAGTTCTGATTAGTATAGACGGAAAACCTTTCCCCTTCTCATAGTCAGTGAAGGCTCTTGGCATCTTTCGGTCCATCGGAATGACATCGCTGAACTCGTCTTATGTTAATCATGAGGTTTTCCTGTGGAAGATTTTGATCCAAATCACAGCATGCCCATTTGTAACTTCCAGATTATTAATCAAGAATGAGGATATAGTAGCCATGACATAACTCGGGCTGTTCTCACTTCAGCTGCCATGGAGGGTGTTTGAAGAGGTTCTGTTTCTGTGTGTGTGTGACAGGGAAAGACTGTGGCTGGTGCCTGGATCTCCTCAAATTGCTTGAGTAATAAAATCTGTTGAATGCTGCACATCTCCAGCTGCCTTTTTTGCCCCTTTGAAAGTAGGAATGAACTTCAGTTCTCTGTTTTGCAGAGGGAAGGACCCCAGGATTTTTGAAGGTGAGGCCTGCACCAAATACAATTTCCTTGATTGTTGGAACTTTACGTGCATCGTCTCCTTCCTCACAGCAAGCCAAATACATATGATTACTTTGCAGACAGGAAGTAGAGAAGTCAAGGAACTTGCTCAAGGTCATGCCCTGCTGTTCCCTCACGTTATCTCTGAAGGTACTTCTGTCCATACACAACACACGCACACGTTTGCACCCAGCCTGCCCAGCCCACTTGTGCTTCCACCTCTAAATCCTACTCAGCTAGGGCCAGGCTTGCCATCCACTGCTCTCCAAACCCTCCTTTCAGCCCAGTGGTGTCCTAAGTCCCCTTTAAGATAGAATGAAAAAAGCTAGAAAGTCTCTACCTTTCTGGATGGAAGGCTCCCAACAGCAATGCTCGTGCGGGGACTGGATTTCATTGTGGTCAATTCACAGGTAGCCACTTTTCTTCTAATTGTATCTTGATGAAAGGAAGCTGCTGAA